CGACATAACAAAACCAAGAAGCACATAGAGAATTTAGGAATGAACGAAGGGGATTAGTTAATATTATGCATAATAATATGCACGAATCGTTAGGTTTGTAGAAAAGATCGTTGTAGATTGTAGCGTGGTGCGGGGGGCAGGGCGATGGCGATACGCAAGGGCAACACGGAATTGATAGTACCTTGCTTCTAAGCCCTTGTGGACCACCAAAAAGTAAGATTGGAAAGGCGACTTCAAGGAACGCTACATAGAACCCGGCACCATTTCAATGCCCACCACGGAATTCCCAGGCCATCGCCCTTCCTCCTCGGCCCTCAACCTGCCAGCCTTAAACCCTGAACCCTAAACCTTGAAGAACTTGACGACTGGAATAGAAGAACTCAACTAACTGACCAAACCCTGCTCTCACAGAGGAGGTGGCCATCCCAGGCCGCTTCCTGGAGCATGCGAGCGTCCACGGCAATCTTTACGGCACCTCTCAAGCGGCTTTGGCCGCTCGTCCCTGGGGGTGTACCGTTCAGTGTTGAGGGCTTCGGATTCAGGGTTTGCGGTTTCAGGTTTCAGGTCCTGGTGTGATGTTTCGGCATAGCTGCAGCTTGAGTTGCTGCATGATTCTTTGGTCTGCAGAAATATGGGAGTTTCCGAAAGTCAGGGGTACCTTATTTTACGACTATTTAGGGTACTATATCAGGGTCCCCTATTTTCGGAAACCCCCAAATATGTGCAGAAAAGCTGCCCGGACGGCGACATACGGCGGCCTTGTTGCTCAGCGGGAACCCGAAACAGGAGATGGGTTGTTAGAGCTAGATTCGGCTATTCGAATCCAGGAACCTTGTTATTTATAGCAAGGGTTCTCTACGCCCCGAACCATCACAAACAAAGCTGAAGCCTGTCCCAACAGAGAAAACAGACGTGCCGCTCTGAAGCGAAGGGATGACTCCGAAACCTTCTTTGTAACAAAACAGCTCCAGACTGCCAAGCCTAGTAGGCCCTACTATAGTACCCTAAATAGTAGGGTCCTCATTACAAGGACCCTAAAATAAGGTACCCCTAACCCCAAGAGCCTCAAGCGTCAAGGACGTTGTTCGAGACAAGGGCCAGATCTGCATCTTGGATGTCGACGTGCAAGGAGCTGTGCTGCTTCATGTGGGTAGTTGTCAAAATTATGGTCCCTTCGGGGGTACCCTAAATAATAGGTGCCGTATTACAATAAGGACCCCAAAAGGGACCATAATCATGTCGCATGGATGGATGTGGGGGTTTCCGATTATTAGGGGTACCTTATTATGGGGTCCTTATAGTAGGGATCCTACTATTTAGGGTACTATATTAGGGTCCCCTATTTTCGGGAAACCCCATGTAGGGGTTCTGTTAAACTTCTTCTCATCCTGACGCAGAGAAACCCTAAACCCGAAGCCTCACTTAGTCCTCGCGAGGCAGCTCCGCCATGCGGGACAGTCTGGTGCATATGCCTCCCCATCACAGCTCAGCTCCCTACGAGGGCCTGTGTCAGAAAGACGTCTCTTACAGATCCTGTGAGCTCCACTGTTTAGGGCTCAGGCCCTTGGCTTGTGTCAGACGCTGCTTAGCTCGGCGAAGCTTTCGGAGGAGCACGGCTGATCAAGGAGGTTCACAACGAATTCAATTACTTGCGGCTCAGATGCAGACTGGAGGATTGGATCTTCAACAGGTTATCATGAGGATTGCAAACGACCAAGCGGTCATGTAGTGATGTCCGCCGGAATCCACTTTCAGTGTTTTTTTCTACGTACTTGGGAGCTCAACAGCACAACGCTTGTTAATGTGGTTCGTGATTGTGTCCACCGCCACGAACACCATGACAGACACGATCATCGCCAGCAATTGCACCACCAAAGCTGTCGATATCGTCAGCGCCCCCCACCGGTAACATCGTCATGATGTTCATGGTCATGATCTAAGACTTGTCATAATCCACGCCGATGCGTCTGTCCGAGGTTTATTAGGCCACCGAACTTGCAAGCGTTGGAGGAGAGGCTCCGATCGAGAGGAACGGAGACAGAGGACTTTGATCTGCAACGAAGTGGGAGGTTCGGAGATTTAGGGTCTGCGCATTTTGGTCCTTATAAAAATAGTCCTGTGATGAAGGGTTCTCTAGTACCCTTCCTTAGGCCCCGCATGTTTTGCAGAATGGTTGTGGTCCGGTTCAGAGTCTGCGTTGCGAGCCCCGAGCCTGTCTTGGGCCCAAGCGGATCACAGAAAACCCTAAACCCTAAACCCTAAACCCTAAACCCTAAACCCTAACCCTGAAGCCCTAAGCCTTGACACGCTGAGGGCCGAAACCCGAAGAATCGAACCTAAAGAGTACCTATAGTCTCCATTGTAGTTCCTTTTGTGGTTTAACCAATTATATGTTAAGGATTTTATAAGGTATCCCCAAAAAGGAACTACGATGGAGACTATAGGTAAAGTTCATCCGGCAGTTTGGTGGAGGAGAAAATCCAGACTCGTCTCCGAAATGCCAAAGGCGCACGGCCTCAGCGTGGGCAGAGGGACAAAGGGGTTTGGGAGTTTAGGGCTCAGGTTTTAGGGTTGAGGGTTTGCATGCATTACCCATAGACCCCATAGCAGTTCCTGTTTGGCGGTCATATTTAGAATTCTATATTGTAATCCCCAAAAGGAACTACAATGGGGCCTATGGGTACTGCACTCGAGGCGAAATCGAGTTCTTCGAAAAGAACCAGGAGTTCTTCACCTCGGTGGTCGTCAATGACAATCTAGGCGCACCGATCCAGCTCTACAAGATATGTCGAGTCGTTGCCCTAAAACCCGTGATCACGACCGAAATCAGGCGAGTAAGAAACAATATGAGTAGCTCTACTACCCCAGCATAAGTTTGGTAGTCTATAGCCGGTATGGAATTATAAGTGCAAAGCTACATCAGTTCATCAGCAAGTTTCTTCCACAGCCTTACGAGTCCTTGCATTCCGGGGCCTTTGTCCTCGCGGGGTATAGCCATCTACGCATTTCGACGCCCAAGACTGCACTGCACAAAGAAGGAGTTAACGGTATTGCTCAGGGAAACATGGAGATTCCTTATTATACGTATAGTGTATACTATACCCCAAAACCCTATTCTAAGTATTAAGGCCCCTATGTCAGGGCTTTTGACTCACTGTTGAGTCTCGCGACAGAAACTTTTGCCTCCTGACTACCCTTCCGATCCGATAAATCCTCAGGCGTTCAACTGAAACCTAAACCCTAAACCCTAAACCCTAATCCCTAAACCCTAAACCCTAAACCCTAACTACAAGGCCAGAGCCCTGAACCGTGGGTTCGGGGTGCCTCGGCCTTGAAGCTTTCAGTGTTCATAGGGCCAGGCGGAAACGATCCCAAAACAGAGAAGGAACCCAAGAAACCCTATGTTTCGCACCCTCAAGGAGGGTTTAGGGTTTAGGGTTTACAAGATCCTAAACCTGGAGCCCCAAAAAGGTGAAAGAGCAAAAAGCACGAGTCCACAGCCCCACGCCCCGCAACTGCCGCAAACCAACCATGACCTGGAGCCCCTACTACAAACCTAACGAGATCCCTCAGAAAGCCCGAGCTCCTAAACCCTGCTGTGCTGCTACCCATAGGCCCTATAGTAGTTCCTTTCTGGGGCTCATATTTAGAATCCTATACGGGAATCCCCAAAAGGAACTACTACGGGGCCTATGGGTAGAAGCATGTAAACCGTTGGGTGGCGTTCACTGCCCGTCCCAATGTGTCGGCCAAAATGGCTTTCAACCCACAGGGAGAGCGGCTGAGAGAAAAGGGGCGACAACAAAGAAAAGCAACAGCTCCAAATCCTTTTCCCTGAAGCCCAACGCAACACACCACCAAAGCCCCACAGTCTCGAAACCTCTCATAAGGCGCTGCCACCTCGCAGCTTCTGGGTCTGATGCGGAAATGGTATCCCGAGCTGGCCGGGCGCTTTGAAAGGGATTGGGGCTTTGTGTTTGCGAGTCGGAACGCTGTGCCGATCTTCCAGTAAAAGGTGTCTCTGTGTGTGTGTGTGTTGGTTGTGTGTGTGTGTGTTGTGCGTTTGTGTGTAAATGCGGCGCATTGATGTCCATGGGATACCTTGCTACAAACTAGCGTCCCTTGCATTCGTGGCGCTCGTGAGCTGTCCCTCCTCAACAACCCATTTCTCTGATTGAGGTCCAGCTTCCTGAACGTTTTTGTGCGTAAGCCCTAGCCCGGAGAAGGCTTCCATGACGGCGGGAAGCCGGAGCAGTGCTTTCTGCGCCTCTGCATTTTATCTCAAGGCCCCTGTAGTTTGCCAAGATCTATATTCTAATGAGATATGAGGGTCGCCGGAAAGCTGTGCTTTAGGGCTGCGCTCCTCTTTCCAGTGGCGCTCGCTCGTCGAGCATGGTTTGACCAGAGTGGAAGGGTTTCTGAACCTCAACAGGATGAGTTGGTGGTGGATCCTGAAGCTGAGTCGCCCCAGCCTGTGAAACAGGGCAAGTGGAACAGGTTCGTGAAGCACTTCAAGGGCTTTTACGAGCCGGATCCGGTGATTAGCTTCTCGGGGAAACCCTACGACTACACTGGCTTCTTTCGCACGTCCTGGACGGCTCTTCCCTTATCCATGTATCAGGGTGCCCTCCAGATCACAGGACCGCTCTACGGCATCATCAAGCTGTTGGAATCAAGAGAGCTGCCCATTTCTTGTCCCACCCTCTGGGCAGACAGAGGCTGGCATCTCTACCTCTCTGTTACAAAGCCGCAGGAAAGGATCTCTTCAGCCCTTACCCATGCTGCCGTGAAAGTGGTAACGCTTGGCAGCCTCCCGTCGTTTTTAGGACAGGTCTTGGGACACAACGCTCAACATGCCCAACATGCAGTGGAGTCCGTCCATGGCACAATGGAGCAGTCCGATGCTATTTATGAGGTCGGGCACGAGGCAATGGAAGAGCCAGACATCAATGCCACGAGGACTACATTCCAGAGGATCTTGCACAAGTTCCACCAGTCCAAGTTGCTGGTCCAGAGAGTGATGGTCGAGAAGCGAGTCGTGACCTTGATGCTTGCGCCGAAACTCGTTGATGGGTATTACAATCTGGAGATGAGTTGTTCAAGAGTCTCGGAGAAGGGAAGGGCTTTGGTTCATTTTTCGAATTCCAGGGGGGAAAAGGTGCCGGTGACAACGCTGCATTTGGCGGTGTATATCCTTGCTGTGGCATGACCATGCTTCGCCACTTCCTAATCCACCACCGCCGTTTCACCCTTGCAGCCGCTCACAAAGCGCAAAAGGCACTGGTCATTCAACTACCCACGAATGTGTGAAGAAGTCGAAGGTCAAATGAATGATGATACCGGGACCGACATTGTCGGCATCGTATTGGTAAGTTCTCCGAGACGATGTCGGGCTAATTGGATGGATGAGTTCATCAGTCAACAGAACACTAACATGAAGCCTGATACACACATGTGCGTGAATACATTCGCACATACGCACACACACACACACACATCTTTTGCTCCCATGCTGTTAAGAGGCAGTAGCCTTTCTGTCTGTTTTCGGTACCGGGCTTTCTACGCTCGAGTACATTCACTGGAACCCCTGAACCCAGTATTCAGGCTTCAGGAATTGAAATCTGAGTTTTGGCACTTAGGGCTTCGCGTCCTGAAGTAATCTCGGAGATGAGGGCCTTGGGCTAGAGGTTCATGATTATATGAAGAAAATACGTGTGAAGAAATAAGAATGTTAAGAAGAGTATCAGTAATAATGGTAGCAGTAATAACAAGCGCAGCAAAAAAAAAAAAACATGATCATCACCATCGTACTACCAGTACTGATAGCAGTAAAAGCAATAGTAACAACAATGAGGAGAAAAGAACAATAGTGGGAAGAACGGTAGCCTTAGAAACTCTACAATTAAAACCCTAAACCCCAAAATTGTCAGGGGCTTGTGGAGCTCTTCGGGATTTGCTGCGAGTCTCATGAAGTTTTGGCAATCTATCGCCTCGTCACCTAGAGCACAACCCAAAAGCTCCATGAAAGGGGTTTAGGGTTCAGGGTTT